ATATATATTGCATCCTAAAACAAAAAAAAAAACGAGGAAAACGGAGAATTTGTGCAAACACAAAACAAATTACATACTATGCATTAGTTATAAAATCGTCGCTCTACTTTATTATATAACATTGATAGACCATTTGATAGTCAGATATTGATTATAGGGTCAGGAATATGCCGTATATACATAACGCAATTTCGACCTGTATTTTGGATTTGGAGCAGCTGGCGAAACATTTTAATGTAATTGAAAAAAACCCTCAGATCCGTCGGTGCATAATATTTAATGTAACAGTGTTCATTCAAGCGGCATCATACCCCTGAGGTAAAAATAAAGTGTACGGTTGTTCTTAGAACAGAATGACTGCTTTGCCTGAAAGCAAGTGTTTTCATTGCATGCAGTGCAAATCGGTAGAAACGGGTTTGTGTTTTTCTAATACTATGCGATCAAAGTGTAGACATACATATAAAGTCGCTTGCATATAGGTCTCTGCTTTGCGTTTGACAAATTTAGGATCGTTCATTAGGTCATAGTGTATGATTAATACTATTCTCGATTTGGAAATGTGTGGATTTTAGAGAAAAGAACTAGAATTGGTTAAGTGGTATGAGAAAAGCTTAGTAAAGAGTGTTAATCGTAAAGCCGAAGCCGACCGGCCTCGAGTGTGTGCAAGCTAGGTTTCGGATTCGATGGAAAATTCATGAATACGGGACCACTTACAGGCTGAATATGGCTAAACTGTGACCTCAATGAACATCATGGATACTCAAGCAAATGTGTCCAATAAGTAAGCTATTAACTGGTAACTGCTTAAAAAGAACGAATCCATAGCAAAAATACAATAACATGCATAGATGTTGTTATTATGAGGTTAAAAAGTTACGAAGCCCTATGAGATATTTATCGGAGCTTTACAATTTTAAAGAGAACCGAAAAAGAATTAAGTTTCAATCACTATTCCGCAGATAGAGGTAATTAGACGAGGATTTCTCGTCAAAATCTTTCTAAACCCCTTATATGTAACACCAGCTATATCTAGTTACTCTTATTTACGTACCTGTATAGCTTTTAAAACAAAGTGACCCTGTACATGCTTAATGATAGTGGGAGAGCGGTGACGTATTCGTCAGCATCTACACTTAAAAACGCATGAAATAGTCTAGGTGTACATAGAGAGCTAGATGTTGGTTTAAACGTGCCGAACGTCGCCAGGCTTCTCATCCTTTTCCGCGGGCACAGAAGTTTTGGTTGCAGAATTATGTAACAATGATTAGTTTAATTTTGTACTGCTGTAGTAGAACTGTAGGTCGGAGTTTACGAGTGCAAAAACGGAACTTCCGCAAAACGAAAAAATCATAGGGCCTTGCATTGCGGCTGCTGGACAGCGATAGCTTAGTGATAAGGCATTTGCATTCTAATCTTGGGAACACGCCGTGGTCTAGGTTCGAACCCATCGCGCAGAGAGCCAGCTGTCTGATGAAATGCTTAAAGGTAATACCGGACGTAAAACCTGAACCATAGAGGCTTCGTTGCTGCAATAACTAAAAGTGTAGAGAAGGCAGCGAATATGGTATAAAGTGGTTGACATGCTGGGTGAGGAATAGAGGATGTTACGGTGTTCGTATATACGTATCGGCCAAATGTCAACTTTCAAAAGCAAGCAGTTGAGCGAGAAACATTTCGTAAAATAAAACATTTTGCGTCCGGTATTGCCATTAAGCGTTGCTTCACGCGGCTGATTTGAACAAACCCTGTCTGCGCTAGCGCCTTCAGTTGGAGTATGGCGGATACGGCTCGAGTTGTAGTTGTTAATAGAATTTTTTTTTCTAGGAAAAGTCGTAGAGATTTTTTGGATGTCGAATATCGACAAAATTTAAACAGAGTCTACCTATTTATTGACCGGTCAAGTAGTAAATAAGAAGAAATGCTTTAGGATACGGATAAATGTATATGTGCAGGGGAATTAAAACACAAATACTCTGTGTTGCGTGCCTTTTGATGCTAGAGGCACAAAATAACTTAATATAGATCGATATGCATTTAGGTACACAAGGTATATCAAAGAAGCCGACAGGTATGGAATTAATTTTTAGTATAAGACTACAATAACGCCTCGAAAACTTCGTAAGACGATATGTCCTTCAAGCAACGTACATAGCATTTCAGCATACGTATATAACATGTGACTCTTGCCTAATCTGAGCATCTACAGTCTTACTGTATTGATCTTGTGCCTTGCCACAAACACATGACACGAAAACTGCTACCAAGCCGATGACAAATCTTATAGGCGCGTGGGGCGCGGCCTTAATTTTGGCCACCCCCCTTTTAGCCTAAACAGGCGATACGGTTTCTGAGGCTTAGACGACTAAGCGACGCATTTCACGATATTGTGATCGCGGCCAAAGGCTAATCAATAAGCTTAAGGTGAACCAGTTCAACCCAGCAAAGCTTATGAATGAAACCTATGATTACTTCGATTGTTTGAGAGTCAGCGAATGTTAATAGTTTCTCCCATTGTGGCCAAGTAACTTGTGATGTACATAGAAAGTGTCTTACTTTAATTCGTAATGAAAGGTTCGTAAACATCATTTAAAATATGGCTGATTTGATGTCTAGTTTAATCGCATAGTACAATAGCGTCGGGGAACGGCCGATATGACCATTTACTATAGTCGAAAATGTTGGTACCTGTGAGGGCAGGTTAAACTCAGGCCAGTGCGGTGGATGACTGGTTGTAGCATGAATCGGCAAGCACTGACATCCCACCATAGAAGTTTCGTAAAACCACAGTGGAACGAAAAGCCCTTATACATGGTGACACGTTTAATTGACACTTCAAATAGCAAAATCGTTGCGTGGGCATCCATTAACCGCATCACCAAAAAAATGTTTCCCAAGGATTGCGCATGCTTACCAAATTATATTGCAACAATTATCAAATTATGCCTCTATTAGGTGCCCTCAGTCAAGCAGCAACCGCGGTAGCAATCAGCGGACAAATGGCGCAGCCTTTTTGCTTAGGCCGTTTTGCTCTACAGATAGCTATTGAACCGTACTTGTAGCTGAGTCGTTAGCGAGAATGGCAGAAATATGTGCGGTGTATTTCTAGAACGCAGGAAGTGTTATCTATTTTCAATGATATGATACTTCATTTGAGCGCTTTGATTACCGAGAACAGCCTGTTCTGTGCGGTCTATTTAAAGAAGCCGACTACGATTTTGTGTAAACATACTGGCTATGCCAATTTTTGGCATGTTAACCAGGTTGTGCTTGAGTGTTTGTACTGTACTGCCTAGAAGGATGGAACAGGAAAAATCGCAGGCAAACTAAATCCAGCTTTTTTCGGCGTTGTGTGTTCCCCATAGATTCGAACAAGTATGCATGAACTATGTAATCGTAAAGTATAGTTTAGAAACCTAGTTATTTATTATAAACCTAATCCTAGTTTTACATGCTTGTTAGTTTTGTTTCTTATTTCATGCTCAATGAGAAGTTTTTTATTTCGTAAAATAAATTTAGTGGAAGTTGCCATTTTGCGGCAGAGATAGAAAACGTCTGCAAAATGAAAGAAGCATCAAATGCTGACGTATGATACATTAGTGAAGTGTTTAGCATAGGGCTTTCAACAAGGCTACCCTGACTGCGATTTAGATGTATGAGAAATCCGCACGTTATGCTTAGTCTCGATCTATGAACGCCTTAATTAACCCTCACAGTAGGCTCGGGAAAATGATCAACCTAAAAGCTACATATGATGTTTTGCAATAAAATATAATAGAAAAAATTATATACGCATAAAAACCTAAAAAGTAGTTTTTTTTAGTTAACAGGACACTGTTCTTATGAACTTCATGAGAGCTAACGCTCAAATAATGACGATATTCAATGTAACTTACCGTTTAATTCTTATCAATTGTATCAGTAGCGTTTTAACGCAACAGCAGATGTAAGTTCTCTTCTTCTAGGCTCAAAAGAGACAGAAGTGTCTGAAGAACGGGTAGAAGTGTGGCTTGTATTTGATATAATAGAAAAATCTACTGAGAAGCCACAATTAGAGATAAAACGTTATTTCTCGGGGCTCTTTTTTGTCAAAAAAAAATGCTTGCTCTGTCAACGGTCGGATTTGATGTAACCCTAACGTTGTATTAATGTAACCTTTGACAGCCTGATGTTACCGGACGTTTGCACGAAAATGTGCAGATCATGATGAGAGTGTCTAACGTTTTGTGACTCGGCCTACGCGAGCGAGAACAAAAGCAAAAATTTTTTCATTGACAAAAAGAAAAAAAAACAGCTATAGATTCTTTTTTGAGCAGGATAAGACAAAATGTATAGGAGCCTATCTAGAAGCACATGAAAAGAAAAACATTATTTACTTCATAATATTAGTGATAACTCTCAGCGGAATTCTAAATCGTTCGACCCAGGACCAAATATTACACACACCTTACATTCTGAAGTACATTTATTGTTGAAATAATTCAACCGAAAACCATGACATTACGAGTTGCAACAAGCTAAACAGTAACGAAGCGTTCAGAAATACGGTTCAACAAAATTCATAGTGTTTTCTGATGACCGGACAGGAGTCCTTGAAGGATCACGGCAAAAATATAGTGGTAGAGATCCACTGTTCTATCCGCATTCACACGATGGAAAGCCTATCGCTATCTCGCCCACGGTCCCCGAATTAGAGTACAAATCCAGCAAGATGGAAAAGGTATCAAAGCATCATATTTGTCTAATTGAAACTACTTAATATCCATATAAGAGAGGCATCGTAAAATGAATTTAGTCAGTATAATATCGTATCTTTTAACGGGCGCCGGATTTTATTCGGAAACAATTAACAACATCAACTAAATGGCTATGCATAATAGTGTATAAGTGTCGCTTCATGGAACAGCAGCTAGAGTGGCTGTATGCTTTCATATTAGAAGCGGTTTTCAAAAAGCGTGCTTTCAGTGTAAAAAGAACTGCCGGAGACGAGATTCCTGGATCTATGAATTGGGCAATATCTACCGAGATGGCTTCTACAGGTGGGTAGATTTACGAACTAGTTTTATGGACCATTTCACTTTTCGAACTGATTTATGAACTAACACATCTTTTAATCTTTGTTTATTTAAGCCACAGGTAGTTTCAACTACTACAGATTAATTAATTGAAATAACTTTATGAAATTTCCCATCAATATTGTAAGACAAGAAGCCCGCCCGAAATATCCTTTAGGGTTCATTAAGAATCTAAATTTTAGTTTCATTTCAAAAGTATTGACCATTTTTTTAGCTAGATGGCTTTCAAATTACCTAGCTAGAGGTATCGTTTCAACGTGAGATTTGACCGTAGTAACTCTGCTGAAATTGTCGACACGTCTTTATTTATTTTCGTGAAAATTCACTTAATGTTTTTTTACACAATTTACAGATGCGTAGGTTATGGAAAGTTAGAGTCCAAAAGCGGTTTGGCCGCTTTCATTCTAAAAATTTCAACGCCAAACCTGTTTCTCATACCTGTGGTCCGGCAGGTGCAAACAAAACTGATGAAGTTACTGTGAAATTAAAGCCGGGCCGACAGGTGAATAGCCATGATACCGCTAAAGAATTAAACATACAGTACCAACCATTTTAAACAAAAGATGGCCAGGATATTTGCCTACCGCACGAACTGACGCCAAATAGCTGAATTTAAACCTCATTCATAGGACTTTATGGACAGTTTATAACTCAAGTAATTTCTGGAGCGGTTGGTCACGAGCGATGAAACACAAGTCCTTCAGCCGTAATTATATAAGTGAAAACAGATAAATAAGAAATCTTCGTAGTAAAGTTCAGACTAATGGTAAAGAAGGTGCTAGGGCGTGTCTGCTGCACTCGAAAAGAAGTCGTACATTAAGAGTTGCCGCTTGAAAAAAGGACGGACTCACAGTTCTGCTATTAATAATTAAAAAAATTACGTTAACTGAAAAAAAATCGACGGAAACTAATGAGCAGGCAAGGCGTCTATTTCTATCATGACAATTCAACATCACACACATATTTGTCTACCCGGGTGAAACTGACAGGATAATTCTAGTACGTCCACCGCATATCCAGAATTTTACAGCATCAGACTATCTATTTTGGTCTCTGCAGAATTTCCTAGACAATGTTAATTTAGTTTCAATGGTTGCAAAAGTCACTTCGCCTAGAAAGTTCTACAGTGATGGAATTTAGGGGTTACGACGAAAATGGCATAAGGCCACTGAGAAACATGGTAGATATTTAGTTTGGTACTATTATTAGTATTTTTTTCGTTTTTGTCTCAAAAACACATATTCACTGACTGAAGGATTCATCATTCGCGAGCCCATGAAAAACCGAGTCTTCACGGGAAAACCGGTCATTGACAGCAAGAGACGTTTTTCAAAAGTCCGATTCTATCTAGACACGTCTCAAAAACTCGACTCAACACAATGACTATTTATGGCTGACTGGATGAGCGCACATTGCCGATTTATTGCAGATGTTCTTAAAAATAAGAACGCCGAGAAGACGCTGAAAGACCGACCGAGTCGAACAATAATCGTTCGTTCCTTTATCATGAGTTCTCTTAATAATACTGATTCACATGTAGATGAAGGTTATACACTGAGATAACATTTTACTTTTTTGTCTAGGTCGAACATTCCCTCCGCTGAGGTGCTGGCCAGCCCCCGTCATGAACCTATAAGAAAGTTGCTCTGGTGCACTGTCCTGATACCGCTCTTTTTCTTCACGATATCTGATCTCATGGGAGTTATTCAGGAATATATGCAGTATCCAGTAAGTGACGAGAATCCAGACCCTCTTTACAAACGGATCTATATATATAATGCAAACTAGCTAATAGAAAGAGTGTTATTAGCTACATTTGAAGAATGAGCCTACCATTTGCTTTAGAGACTATCCGTGCTTTGTTATAAGCTGGATGTAAAAGTTTGCTAGGTAAATATTTGAAAGGCTGCTTAATAAACGGTAAGTGAACTTATCATCCAAGTAGCTCGCTTGCCAGTACAGGGATTTGAATCAGTACTATAACACATATGTATCAAGTATAGCTTCATTATTGAATAAATTAAGTTACCTATTAAGTCAACGCCAAACCTCACATTTCAATGTTTACATATGTATATACGATACCTTGGAACGCCCATAACGAACTCCTACAAAACTGGTTTCTAAATGTTTCAGGTAATTTACACGTACGAGTACAAGACAGTGGACACTCTTGAGTTTCCTGATGTGACAATCTGTAATGTTAACCCACTCTTGAAAAGCAAGGCTTGCCGCAATGACTCTCTGTTATACAGATCAGTAAAGATCGATAACCTTGGTGAAGAAGTTACGCTCAATGCTTTTTGTCCAGATGAGAACAGGTAGATAACTTTCAGACTAGTAAATATCGCTTTTTCCTTCGAAAAAAGAGTCTAGTAAAGTTAACTACATATTACACTACTATGTATTAAAACAACAAAAGAAAAATGATGCATGTTGCGTTTTGGGGAAGACAGATAAAGTAGAGACTTGACTGACAATAGCTCGACTTTGTTTTGCTAGATCACTCGCGCTTTTATCTATCTTGTACCGGCAAAATCGCTTGATTGCCATTGTACAAGCTTCTTGTTATGCAGATTATTATGGTGTTATTTGTATTGTTGATTGAATAAAGAATGGCAATGAGAATTTTTCTTTTGCAGCCGATGGATGTGCGATAGGATTTGCGGCGACAACGAACAGGTGAAGCAACCAAATGAGGAAGATCTGAATATTCGAGCACAACTTGCGCAATGGATTAAAGAAACAATCGCTGCTGGAGAAATGGGCGACGCCATTATAACAGATCTGGGTCACAAGGTGGGCAGTATGGTGCAGAAGTGCAGGTGAGCAAAGAGTAGTCGCTTTTCTTCAACATGACCTTCTTTAGAGGGATTTTGGGCTTATTTAGAGTATTAGCGGGTATCCAGCTCTATGGACCATTTTCCATACATATGTGATTATATGTGAAAATTAGAAGCCTTGTGCCATTTCTACGTTAATATCTATTTGAAACACTTCAGACAACCGGTATGCGGTGTGTAATATTTTAAGTCACGTTGATTTTCAAACGCCCGTAAATCGCTGATAAGCGAGAAGGGATCGTTGACACTTTTTTCAACGGATCCCGTCTCTTATAGACGCTATTTGTAGAATATAATGAGAAATATTACAAAAAAAAAAAGTAAAGTTTCATGTATACAGTTATGCGTCAAATGATGATTGCACGACAAATACTGGTCTTCGCTTCACGGAGACGGTGAGCCAGCTGTACGGTTCGTGCTTCTGTTTTCACTGTCACCGAAGAAACCATACCAAAAAGTTTCAAAAACTCTCGGAAGAGGTACGTCTATATCTTTATTGTTTGTATCTTATTTATAATCTGTACGCGAAAGCTATTATTAATGTATCCTATTTTTGTCAAAGTAGAAATGAATTTTAACTGTCTAATTATTTATTTTTGCCAATTTTGGTCTAAACAGCGAAATATGTCGTTGCTAACTTACCATTTTTGCACACAGAACGTATTTTTCTTCTTACAAATCGTAGCTTTTCTTTAAAATTAGAAAGTTTCACAAGTGTCTTGATGAATGGCCTACTTTTGACAATCGAACGTTGCACGTTATCGTATTGGTTGTAACCAAAACGAGTACGCGGTTTCTGAGACGGCGATTGTCCCAATAAAGTCATAGTTTTTCCCGGATAAATAAGGTTATTCCTTACGAATGTTTTTTTGTTTGCCACTTCTCTCCCCAGGTAAATAATATGAGACGTTTATAGTGAATCCGTAGTCTTTATGATCCTTTTGGCCGACGAAATCCCTGTTGTCTAATATATAACTCTTTTAACCTGCTATTTTCACAATTCTTTCCTCTGAGACTGCAGTACGAGATTTATGTCAACGGTTGTAGACATAGACAAGTCCTTCTGAATCTCTGTAGAGTTTTAAGTTATTATTATTGAAAATGTCATTTCGGCATCGATTTTAAGCTATAACGAACCAACGCAGTAGCTTATTTGCAAAGTTCTCGTTCAACACGCATCATTTCGAAGGTAAATGGGTTTGAAATGCTACATTTCTTTGCTACCGCAGTTACTTTGATTCGGTTGTTTCCCAGAATATTTAATAGGCCTTACTATAGCTTGTCTTTGAACAGCCTAAATCAAACGTCTGAGGGTCGCCCAACGTGAACGCTTGCCCAAATATGTTTCGGCTCCATATAGAAATACGCACTTTCATATTTTGAACCTAACTGAATCCCCCTAATAGATGTGATAACAAGAGTCTTACTTTTGTTCAAGTTGCCGGACTGTAGAATCACAACAAGTACATTGAGTTAATTGATATATCGATATGCGTTATCCAAGGATATGTGCCTGCTCTTTGTTTCGAGTAGTACGGTTGGTATCGCTGCTAGACATTTTATCAAACGAAGTGCGCGTGCACCCGGATTCGAACCTGAGCCTAGAAGATGTGTACACCCGGCAAGAGTACAATCCATTACGATAACTGGCGACGTTCTTCATAGAAAGCTCTGGATCATTATTCAACGGATTTATATTCAACATTCATTTTCAAATAATTATGATTCTCTGCTCTAGGTAGATTGCATTCAAAGTGTCCTCCTACCTTTTATGCTCTAGGACCGAGCGGAACACGAGAGGACCAAAAGGGAGTGGGATAAGTATTACGAATACGGAACATTGTCGTCTCCACTAAGCGGGCTTGTTATCCAGCTTAACACCGAAATTGACGTAAGAATTTAATTAGCAATTTGAGATGCTAGTTATAAGCGCATTGTCAAAGGCTTAGCTCATTACCAAAGACTATTTTTAAGACCCCTTCTAGGGACGTTACGTAGCGTCCCTATGCCGGTGAGGACGCTATAAAATTGATGCTTTTAAGATAATGGCGCTGTTTTTGCTCCCCTTATACAGGAATATCTGCCAACTTCAAATGAAGTCGGTTTCGTGGTAATGATCCACGAACACAACAAAGACTACTCGATCTGCCACGACTCCGTCTACATTCTGCCTGGATACACGACGTATATTGGCTAGTATCGCTAATGCAGCGTGGTCTTCATAAAAATTTTTGTTTTTCGGGTAATTTAGGCTACTGTTTTCTTGTTTTTTCATCATAATAGTCTCGAGGAATAATTCCCGCGAACGTTTACTTGGAACCCCTTTCGACTGCTCTTCTCTCAATGATAGTAATAAATTTCTAATGCTTGGCTGTGCTATTCGTTTCAAGTCGTAATCGGGTATAAATTTATTGACACCGTACCGACCATTTGGCAGTAATCCGCGTTGCTTGATTATTTAAGATGTAAAGCAAAAATAAATCCAAAAAATAGTTTCTAGAAGATAGATAAAATAGATCAAATTTGCAGTATGACTTGTTATATAGAAAAGTATCACCTTTGAAAGAAAGGACAAGACTACAGTTTTCTAGAATGAACGGCAATATGCCAGTTATCAGTTATTAAACGCAACGTCAGGACACGCCTTCATAAACGCCCCACCGAAGCCCAACCCGTATATCGCAATTACCCAGTTTGTGTTGGGTTTGCTTCAGGTTTAAATTTAATGACCACCTTCAACTTGGGACCGCCATACCAGGATAGCTGCAGAGATGTGTGGCCTCAACCGTTGAAAGAGGGAACGCTTGAAGGCGCGGTCAAGGTGCGGTTCGACTTATCTGATGACTTAGGCCTTTAAAGCAACGTTAAATGTCAGTGAGAACTTTGGGTGAAATGAAAGGAGCATAGAAAAATAAAAGCAAACAATATAGAGGCCTCAAGCAGTCTGCCTAGATCATACTAACCTGAGGATATCAAAGTATATGTAAAAATACAATAAGCTCCATTAATTGTCCACGAAACAAATTCTGTACACTGTTATAGTATATAGCAATTGACGTTATGACCAAGTCCAGTTATTTGGTCTATTTCCTATGTTGCTCCTCTGCAATCGTCCTTCATTTATCTGTGTTCGTATAATGTTTCTTTTATCGCGCAGTACTTGCACTTAATGTTCATTAGTTCTTCTGTCTTAATTAAACCGTTATAATCACATCTTATGGACATTGAAATTGTTTTGCTGCCCTCCGACCCTATGGCTGCCATTAGAAAACTTCATCCCTTAGGCAGTTGCGCTGATCGCTTCGTCACTTATTTAGCTATATATGACTAGTTTCTGTGGCTTGTCTTTAAAGAGCTCCGACCATGGTCCTGCTATGTTTGATCTTTTGAAAGACCTTTACATTTCACCTTAGATCCGCTGGTTGCTTATGATTTAAATTGAGTACTGCACTGTGCCAGTGCGTTTCGTTTTTACCCATGACTAGCTATCTATATATATCGCGTTCCTCCCTCTGAGTTCAGGCTTTTTCCTAACAAGATCTAATTTGGCCCCCTGCACCGCGTATGCCAATTTTTACTTTACCGGTAACTTTCTCGGTAGTGATCGATCCGCAGCAATTGTCTCTTCCGTAGGCCGTAATTCTCGCAATTAATGTTTTCGGCCAGCCCAAGAACGATTACGAGCGCGTTGTCATATGTGTTACGTATCTCTCCAGCCTGCAGAACTGGCAACGTTGTAGATGACGATCCAGATGTACGTCAAAGGATAATAATTGGGTGAAATTGATCTTTAAAACCATTCAAATTCTCTGTTCATCGCATGGTTAATTATCTATTGCATAATATATATAACAATAAAGGACGCACCAGGCTTACATTTCGATAGTGAGAAACTAACCTTTAAAAATGAATATGTTACCCATTGCTGTAATAACGGTCTCCAAGCTATTCGTATGTGTACTACTACAGCTGGTTATATTAGGCTAGCATTTGAAAAAATGCGCCAGTACTCTTCTTTTTTTTTTGTAATCACCTGATCAACATATGACAAAATGTATTATTCTATGTTTTGATACCTATTACAGGTTATTGATCCTTTCGTAGAAACGCAACAGTATAGCCGTCCAATGTGTTTGGAGTATTGTAAGATTGAGTATCTCCTTTTTAAATGCAAGTGCGTCCAAAATGATCCTACCGTAAAAATTAACCCAGAGCTCACCGAGAATTACAAATACTGCAAGTCGGCTAAGAAAAATGAATGTACCAAAAAAGTCCTCTATAAAAAAACCAACATGGTTTGGGAGGTGAGTAGATCGAGTTCGGACGTAGCGTAATACTAGTTTTTCCAATAAAAACATCTAGAAAAATAATGCCACAAGGATGAAGAGCATTTCGATCATTTTGAGCACCGCCCGTATACATATAGCCGACATTTGATTTTTTTTAACCACATTACAATTAGTTGACAGGTCTTTAGCTCACGATATCAGCCGAATTCAGGTATTAGCAGGGCATGAAACGTGGGCAGGTCTATTTACTTTGTCTATAATTTGTGCTCGTTTAGTATGGTGATTGGCATGAACGTGATGATTAACAGAAGGCCATTGTTAGACAACATTAATTGTTGCATAGTAGACGAGCGTGTTAAGGACCTCCTAACCTATTGCCTAAATCTGTGGTTCAGGCTCGGTGCGATTGTCGAAGGGAATGCGAAACACGACGGTATGACACTGATGTCAGCGTGGCGGGCTTAGTTGCTGAAGAGAACACTGGGTTAGGTAAGGTCTATTCTTATTAGAACTAGTCAATTATAGTTTATTGTAGCGTGAAGTCCTCGAACATTTAGTTCGTATGCAATATATCGCAGATATCGGGAGTACGAAGGCTGACATGAGGATTCAAATTGATGCTATTGGATTGGCTACAAGCTTATTTATGTACATTGTGGGTAAGACATGATGTTCCCGATTGAAATTTACTTTTGGAGATCTTATAGCAACAGTGGCAATGTTAGCTGAGAGGAAAGTCGACTTATATGGATAGTGACAATGTTTTCCACATTTAAGTTACAATTGGAGCCATCATGGTGGTGCTAGTGAATCTGTTTGTATATAAAACTTTATTATAACCTCTCAACACATTTATATTTGACTGTAATGGTTTATAGTTAGAACCTAATCTATTCTAGCGCGACCTAATATGATAACTAATTGCATAACCATATATATATATATATATAGAGGAGCTCGTAAAGTAGTAGCAATTGTAATATTAAAAAAAAACGAAAATTTCAAAAGTTATGGAAACCAAGTTAGATAGAATCTGCCAAATCTACGTTCAAGCGATCTTGATTTTTCATTCCTAAAATTGACAATCAAAGGCAAAAATATTAAAATACTGAAAATATAAAATTCATTATTACTATGAAAATCTATACTAATTTATTTAATAATAAACTTTTCAGTTGATTTTATTTAATATACTTAATACATATTAAAGTAATGAAACCAAAATATCAAGCAAACATTTCAAATACTAAGTGTCTTTTTTGATTTATATGATTACGTTAATTAGCACTAAATTAAGCAATGAAAATAAAGTCAGTCCCAATCAATACATGTAACTCATGAAATATTGTCAATAAGAAACACACTGTTCCAAAAATTTCATCGTTTGATATAAATATAGCTTGCTTATACTTAAATCACTGTAAAAAAAACACCTGAACAAACTAAAGAGCTACCTTCTTACTCTTATCCATAATTATATAATGAGATCAAATAACTGTAAATTCTCAAGATAATAAAATAACAGTATTTAACAAAGAAATTTCATAAGAATTGAAAGAAATTGCAATGTCGTTAGAAGATATTTTAAGTTAACACATATTTATGTTAAGTATTAATTGACAGGTACATAGCGGTCCCTAAATTTCTAGCTCTCATAATTACTGCTGCAGGTAATCAAACCCGTGAGCAGCAAATGTACACACAGATGGGCAGTGCCCGTATAGTAGTATATTTTCATTCGTTCACATACGAACACGTCAAGGCCATAAAAAAATACGACGAAATTCGAGTGCTATCTATCATCGGAGGGATTAATGGAATGTACCTAGGACTCTCGTTCTATCTTCTCTTCCAGGTATTTC